AAACTCACACATGCATAAAGAGAACATGCAAACTCCACCAACAAAGACCCCAGGCCTGGATTCGATCCAGCAACCTTCTCATTGAGAGACAGCAGCTCTACCAACTGAGCCACGGTGCCTCCTGTTCCTGTATACAATTTAAAATATATCATAGATTGAATCAATTCCACAGAAATCTTGATTATTACCTGGTGCTCAATGCAAAAACAAGTTCATTCACCTGACAGCAATGATAATGAGGTTTGTAACATGGCACACAAATACAACAACATGATTAGGAATCTTTTTTCAAGTACAAATGCTTACAAGGCTGGTGTACTCAAACATAAAAGCAAATGCATAAACATGTTCCAAATTTATTGCCTAACACCACGAGGCACAGCTTTTGCCTGTCTCACTCTGTGTATATGTATTTGTTTGTGTGTCTGCTGGCCAAATAAATCATGAAATAGCAGACAGCCTTTAGTAAAACTCTCAGATCATATTCAGTAAATGTACATTTACAATTGTTCCACTTTTAGACTCGAGTTGAGTCAGAATGGCTGCCATAGCTAATCCACCTCCAGAATTTGTGGGGATGGTGCCCTGTTGTGTTTCTGTTCTGCCCTCCCTGTCAATCACTCCCTGTTTCCCTACACCTTTGATGCTCTACAGCTGTTGGCACTTGTTTCAATTCAAATTCAATTCAAAAATACTTTATTAATCCCAGAGGGAAATTGTTTGTTGTAGTAACTCGTTATCCTCATTTCATTAATGAGGCAGGCAGGCGTGGAACACCTGGAGAGCTGGTGCAGAGAGAATAACCTTCACATCAATGTGAAGAAGACAAAGGAGATGATTGTGGACTTCAGAAGGAACAAAAACACCTACACCCCCCTGAACATAAGAGGATCTGCGGTGGAAGTCGTCTCCAGCTACAAGTACTTGGGTGTACACATGAATGACAACCTCAGCTGGAGCAACAACACCACCAGCCTGATCAAGAAAGCTCATCAGAGACTCTACTTCCTCAGACGGCTGAGGCGAGCTGGTCTGGGAAGCTCAGTCCTCACCTCCTTCTACAGGTGTGCAGTGGAGAGCATCCTGTGCTCCAGCATCAACGTGTGGCATGGAGGCTGCACAGCTGCAGAAAGAAAAGCTTTGCAGAGAGTGGTGAAGGCTGCACAGAAATCTGTTGGAATCAGTCTCCCCACCATCACAGACATCTACACCTCCAGATGCAGGAAGAGGGCCACCTGCATCATGAAGGACCCCACCCACCCAGCACACACACTTTTTGCCCCACTCCCCTCAGGAAGGAGGTTAAGGAGCATTAAGTGTAGAACCACTAGACTGAGGAACAGCTTCTACCCTGAGGCTGTTAGACTCATGAATCTCTAACTAGAATAATCACTGTGAAAAACCATATCATGTTGCTGCTGATCTGTTTCATGTTGCTGCTGATCTGTTTCAATGTTGATGTGTTCATGCGTGCACATCTGCTCACAGACTCATGTTCATGTTTGTGGTGATGTTCAATGTTTTATGTTATGAGTGCTTAGTGTATATTTAGTTGATGTTTTTCTTAGTTCATATCTTAGATGTCATTACTGTTTTTCTTATACATTTTATTGTTGGATGTAACTGGGACCCTGTGTACATAATTTCGCTCCACCACATGTACCACATGAGGTGCGAATGACAATAAAGAAACTCTGACTCTGACTCTCTGACTCTGATTAAGAGATGTTATACTGTAGATGCTGATGGCTGTAGACAGAAAGGATCTCTTGTAAAGATCCATCCCACAGTGGATCCTAACAAACTGGCTGCAGATGCCGTCAGGTACGTCCACCCAGACTTGACTGACCTCTTGGTTCCCCCCGGCTGTAGGACCGCTCGAATGCCAGGCAGAACTCCTCCCAGAGCAATGGCCACTCCTCCCAGCAGTCTGCCAAGCTCCTCGTCACTACAGACAGCCAACTGTATGTACCGAGGGACGATCCTGTCCTTCTGCTGTCATGAGCCGTGTTTCCTGCTAGTTCCAGGATCTCAGTGGTCAGGCACTCGAGCACAGCTGGCAGGTAGATGAGAATGCGTCCACAGAACATCCTTTTCAACTCATTTGATATTTAGGGCTGTAGTTGAGATATTATTTGAGCTTTTGAGATGTTAATCAGCTGCTGGTTGTAGAAAACTGCCTTGATGCCATGGTTATGCATCATAACAAATGTCCAAAACTAAAAAAGTTTCAATACAATTCCTTCGAGCTGCACAGCATCTGATAGCAGAGGAAAAAATCATCCAAAAAATGTGATTTACGTCCAGAAAAAGAGGAATTAAAGTTTCCAAAAGCAAAATCTCAGAATGAAAGTAACAGAGCTGCTCCAACATGCAGCCACCTTGAGCGGCGCAATTCTAGAACTTTTATACTTTTTAACTTTTTGTTGGAATGTCTGTATTTTAGTTTGTTTGTGTGTCTTCTTTGTTGTCTGGGCATCGTCTGGTCCTTGTGTTCACAAACAATTAACCTGTTCCTGTAAATGTCTGGCTGTCACATCAGTTCATTAATTCATGTTATTAAAAGTGTTTTGATTTTGCTCTGCTGAGTGTCCGAGTCCCTGCCTGCACCATTGGGTTCTACCTGTCCTGTCCTACAAAACCCTGACATAATTGCATAAAAATCTAGAACTCTTTAGGTTGTGCGGATACTGAGCTTAAATTTGGTGTGGTAGTAGCTGTCCCAAAAAAATACTTCCAATGCTTACTGCCCATATAGGATCTTTGTTTAAAAAAATGCCATTCACCAATGCAGTCAACTTTGTCTGTCTGTTAGCAAAATACAGCATGAACCATCAGACTGGTTTCACTGAAACTTTCAAAAAGTAATCATATATCTAGAACTGATTAACTTTTTGACTCACTACAATCAAAGATGGCTGCCACAGTCAATCAGTCCTTGCCAAAACAAAATGTCTTTAAGTCAGTTTTATTAAAACTGAGGTAAAATTTGTTGTGGTAGTAGCTGAGAGTCATTCTCAACACAATTAAGAGCAATGTGTGAGGACAGTTTTATTCCTGTGAAAAGTGGATGGAATCATTTCTTTCTTCCTCTCCCTGCACATTGATTTGCACATTGATTCAATGGCTATTAAAGTCTCAGTGTTATTACTCACTTGATTATATTTTTATATTTTATACTTTTGCTGTAAGTTTTTATTAATGAGAGGAGTAGGGACTGTGGATGCAGGTTACGCATAAACAGATTTACACATTAAACTGGTTGGGTGTGTTGGTTCTGAACAGAATGTGTTGACCTGCTGTTGCAGATTGAAGACAAATGCTTGTTTATTTATGAAATGTGTGCTGGAGTTATTTACTGCACAGCCTGCATGGCTCATTCAGGTGCAGTTGATTAATAAAGCACTCTGGATCGTTGATTTATGAGTTGGGCGGTGTCTCGGCCTTGCCCTCTGTGATATAAAGGAAAGATTGTGTGACATGATGTCATTCCAACGATGCAATCACAGCCCAACGCATACTCTCATTAATAAAGGCGTTTATGGTGTCAGCTCACAGGGAGAGTGTAAAGATGAAGAGGGTTTGCTGAAAAAAATATGTTGTAAAGGTGGTGGTAAAGAAATGAAAAATGAAAAATTGAAAAATGTTTGATGACTGCTAAATATCAGAATGATGTAATGCTAACTGACTGGTGGATGAAAAAAATGAAATCAAACACGTGAGGATGGCAAAAGGTGTAACAAACATGTTGCTGATATATCATTTAAACTATCATACTTTGCTTCACACAGGACATTCAACTGTATGTTACTGTGGTACAGCTCTGAACAGACCTGCATTCATCACAGTTAAACTCAGTTATGAGCTTCTTTTGATTTAAACACCTCTACAGTGTGTTTCAAGCATGCACTGCTGCTCTGAAATGTTTCTGGACAACACCCAAAGGTTTGTGCACTTCAACAATCACATTCATTTAATTAGACAAGATTGTGGATGATATTCCCCAAACTCTTGAGATTAAATATATAATAAATTTGGAAAGCTATCACTTAACTCTGATTATTTGCATGGGATTGTCATAGTTTGTCTTCGAGGCAATGTATGTCAGACAATGCACCTCACTGATGTAATGTTGTCTGTGAGGCTTATAACTGGACAAAGTTTTCACTTAGTGATAAAAATCCAATTCACAGGCTGAGCACAGTTATAATAAAACCTTATGTGTAGTCTTCAAAGCAGATGTGTTGTAATGTTAAAGGGATTTCTACTTTACTGCTGTAAGACAAAAAACGTTATTTGATGGAACATCGTGCATCTATTTTTTAACCAGCTTACTCTTGTTCACGAGGGTTATGAAGCTGGTGTTTGTCTCCAACAGTGATTAAACAAATGGCAGGGCACACTGCGGTCACCATTACAAAATAAATCCTGATGAACAAAAACCTCACTGACCTACACAAGGCGAGGTCAGTGAACAAGGCCAGGTTGATTCTGACAGATCCTGATCACCCACATGGTGAGTTCATGTTGCTTCCATCTGAAAGCAGGTATCTGCTGCCCAGATGTAGAACGAACAAACTGAAAAACTCATTCATCCCTGCAGTGATCAGGCTTATCAACGAACAATGATGATGTCACGTTATGTTATTTTAATGTCTCAATGTCTAGTATGGATGTTTTGTGTGCCTACTGACTGTGAAACAAATTGCTCCTTGGGGATAATAAAGATACTTGAACTTGAACATGTGACAAACTAAACAATTTGGAGTAGTCACTTCACCTACCAGACAGGATTTTGTTCTGTGGAAAGGGACCAAAGTACCCAAAGAGAACCCAAGCATGCATGGGGAGAAATTCCAAGCAAGAAGATCCCAGCTGGAAGTCAAACATGCAACCTTCTTGCTGCAAGGCAGCAATGCCAAAGCATCTCCACAGAGCAGCTACTGTCTCATCAAAAAATCCCTCTGGATCCTTCTCTTATTCTTTCCTCTGTTTTCCAGGTGTGATGTCAGATCGCCAGTTTGCTGGAACCCAGTTTGTTTGCAGCGTCGTGGCCTCCCACGTCAGCCACCAGCCCTCCACCAGCTTCAGTTTTGTTTGGATCGCCCCACCACCCGGCACCGGCTGCGTGAATTTCCTGTAAGTCCTTTTGTGTGGTGCGTGGAAAAATAAATAAATAATAGCAAGAGAAACATCTGATGGGTGACCTGGTGCTCCTGGCGGGGGCAGTTACAGCTGCCACAGGCATGAAACTCATAAACATATCTGTTAATGTTCTGTGGCTCTGTGCTGAGCAGAAAAGAGGGGCTCATCAGCAGACATATTGGACTGTTTCCCTGTCTGAAGCACAGAGAGGATGTTAGAGAACCACCCTGTCATAAAGAGATTAGACAGGGCAGAGGTAGTGTGCTTCATGTCATCACTGTCCTGCTCATCATGTCCTGTGCATTGGTAGGTTTGTGTGTGCATGTGTGTATTTATTCTGATGAGAATCAACAGGAACATCTCCAGTTATTCAGCTCATCCCCCTTCACGCTGGAAAACATCTGATCAGCTGGTCAGATCCACCCATCCCCCGAGGATGGGAGGGATTCAAATTTACACATACATAAACAAGAGAGAGGATTTCTCCATACTGTGTAAAGGAATTATTAAGAATCTGTCATATTCCTATCATAAAACAAATATTTAGAGATTGTTTGTGTGTGTGGGTGTGTGTGGGTGTGTGTGGGTGTGTGTGTGTGCGTGCGTGCGTGCGTTTATGCGTGTGTGTGTGTGTGTGTGTGTTATAGATTGGATCACAGGAAAGCTGGTTTTGTTATCCTGGTTTTTATTTGTCTTTGGAAGTAGGAGCAGACTGAGTTCAGGAGCTTCTCTCCTTTTCATTCCCCTTCATCGTTTTTTCTTGCCTCTTCATCATTTCTACATCTCATTCCATTGAAGAGACCAAGTAACTCTCTTGCCCTCCAGTTATCTGAGCAGCTGATTTACAGCCACCTGCAGATAGTCAGTCAAAATGCAATTAGCCTCCACAGCAATATAAAAAACAAAGTGAGCTTTTCAGAGGCTTTGCTGCATAAAGTCACTGCCATTAAAAAAGATTTTAACTAAGTTACACTACAGCATTTGTTCATGAGAAGACATTTTTACTATTTAACAAAACGTTTGGATCAAAGGTTTTAAGTAAAATTTTAAAATTTTATTACTGTCACATTCATCTTCACCACCTTTAAATTATTTACATTATAAATTTTAAACCATGTGCTCACTTTTGCTTATTTTCACAAGCAGTTATTTTAGTTAAAATATATATTACAAAGTCAGAACTAATTTAAACAATGTGGCAGTACTCATTGAAGTATTCAATTAATTTTTGGAATTTTTTAAAAAGTTTTTTCAATGTCAGAAAAAGATTCAGCAAGAAGAACTCTAATCGCAGCTTTTATTTAAATGAAATCCACTGAGGTAAACATATTTGAAGTTGTTTTAGTTTGCCAGATGACAGTTTTTGTTGAATGTATGATTGCATATGAGGGTTGTTTTTCTTGAGTACTTCTGTGTGTGTGTTTGTGTGTATGTATGAGTAATGTGTATTTTGTGCATAAAGCCCAAAGCAGCATTATTCCAGTGTTGATGACAGCAGGGCCAGCAGAGGGCCACATCTGTATGACAGTAAGGGCCCCTGAAAATGACCTTATCAACGTCAGCCGGTCACTCTTCAGCTTTCAGTTCTCAGCTGTCAACTGTTCTCCAGAGCTGCACCCTTCCAGGGTTCAGAGGAGACATTTACACAGGTCTGACCAAAACCAGAGCCTCCTCTGGTGCTGAACAGTTTTCAGGACTGGAGTCAGTCTGTTGCTTTACATGTTGAGGTTTAGTCAGAGAATTGAGACACTGTCAAACACATTTACTTGTGCATTTTGGATGATATAATTAACATTTTTAAGCATGTTTTATCAACATTACAGGCATGTACTTTCATCCATCATCCATCCATTATCTTCCGCTTGTTCCGAAGTCGGGTTGCGGGGGCAGCAGGTTGAGCAGGGAGGTCCAGACATCGCTTTCCACAGCCACCTCTTCCAGCTCTTCTGGGAGGATTCCAAGGTGTTCCCAGTCCATCCGAGAGACATAGTTTTTCCAGCGTGTCCGGGGTCTTCCCCAGGGTCTCCTCCCAGTCGGACATGCCCGAAGCAGATCCCTTGGGAGGTGCCCAAGGAGCATCCTTACCAGATGCCTGAACCACCTCAACTGGCTCCTCTCAGTGTGGAGGAGCAGCAGTTCTACTCTGAGTCTCTCCCAAATAATGGGACTTCTCATCCTATCTCAAGGGAGAGTCTAACTACCCTGCAGAGGAAACTCCTTTCAACCACCTGTATCTGCAATCTCATTCTTTTGGTTACTACCCAGAGCTTGTGACAATAGGTGAGGGTAGGAACTAGGGATGGGGCCAATCCGATCCAGTATCGGTATCGGCCTCCGATACCAGCATAATTTACGTATCAGATTTTCCGATCCACCTACCGATATTTCCGATCCATGATACAAGTTGGCTTCAAACTATGGAATGATTTCCTGAACGGTGGCATGTCTCATGAACCCAGAGTAATAAGACCCACCTCACATTCAGGATATTCAGTTCATAGTTTGCAGCCAGCTACAACGTTAGTGCTGAGTTAGCAGCACTGTGGCTAACAGATAACAAACTTTTCATCTAAACATGTCCGCTGTGTGGAAATATTTTACACTAAAAACATCACAAGACAGCATCGTGCAATGTCTACAGAGCCATAGCGCCACATTAAACCACGTAAAAGTTAGTTTTACGATGGACATTCGAGCTCCGTGGCTTCAGCGGGGCGCTACTCTTTGGTCAAACCGAAAGAGGCGACTCAACACCGGCCAGCCACGTCCAATCTGCCCTGCTCAGTCTGCCCGTCTCCGAGGTGGGACAGACTTGAGCGCGGCTGCCCCAAATCAAGCTGCCTGCTTCGGATTGAACAAGAAGTAGACGTCGCTGAAACTACAGAGTTCAGATGTTTACCGAGAAGTTGCTAAACTTCATCATAATTAATGAACAACCTCTATCAGTTGTAGAAAACGAAGGATTTCTCAACTTGATACTTGCAGTCAAGATATAGTTTACCCTCCAGGAGATATTTATCAGTACAACTGTAGGAGTTGTGCTTTCCCTGGTCTCTGTCTCCCTCTAGTGTTCGATATTTGTCTGCTTCCCCTCTGATGTTTGCACCTGTGATGTTTCACAGGTGTTCTGTGTTAGTCTCATTAGTGTGTGTGTATTTAAGTCTGTTTGCCTGCATCCCTCATTGTCTGGTCATTGTGTCACTGTGATGCCTGTTATGCTCCTTGTGTCCTGCTCCTCATATCCTGCATCTTGTCCCATGATTTATGTAAGTTTGCTGCCCCGTCAGCCATCTTTATTTTGTAAATAATAAATTATTTATTTATATTCCTTGAATCTTGTCTGCCTGCACCAAATGCGTCTCCTGCCTAGAAATCATCACAGAATGACCAGACCAAACCAAGGCCCAGCAGGAAGCCCGACTCTCACTGCTCTGTCCCTGGAAGACAAGCTGTGGGGTCCTTTTAGAGACTCTGAGCCTTCAGCTACACCCCCGGCGCTTCCTCGGTTCCTGCTCCTGGCTCTGTGGTGGATCCCACGCTGCCCCCGTGGTGGATCCCACGCTGCACGCTGCCCCCGTGGTGGATCCCACGCTGCACGCAGCCCCCGTGGTGGATCCCACACTTCTCTTGCTCTGAGAGGGTCCTGGCGGACGCTCCTCACTTCTCCTGCTCCGAGGGGGTCCTGGCGGACGCTCCTCACTTCTCCTACTCCGAGGGGGTCCTGGCGGATGCTCCTCACTTCTCCTGCTCCGTGGGGGTCCAGACGGACTCCACTCCAGATACTGCCGCCGAAGATCCAGTCCCAGACGATCCAGCCGCAGAAGAGCTCCTCGCCGCTGATCCGCCTTCTGAGGTCCTCACTCCTGCTCTGCCCAACCTGTTCCTGCCTGTTGGACGACCTCTCGGCCGCCCGCCTGACTGGCCCCGGCCTGCTGAATGGTTGCCTGTCTGACCTGTTCCTGCTTTTTGGACAATCTCACAGTTCCCCACCTGAACTCTGACCTCCCTTTGTTTCCATGTGTTGTACCTTGCCCCTGGTGTACCCTGTCCAGTTCTTGTTCCCCTTGGGTCTTTTTTTTCCTTGTGCCCTCCTCCCTGTTGACTTCCCCCCTCCTCCCACCCACGTTTTGGGGGTGTGGGGGTCTTGGAGACATCAAGGGACGACCTTGTGGGGGAGGTACTGTAGGAATTGTGCTTTCCCTGGTCTCTGTCTCCCTCTAGTGTTCTATATTTATCTGCTTCCCCTCTGATGTTTGCACCTGTGATGTTTCACAGGTGTTCTGTGTTAGTCTCGTTAGTGTGTGTGTATTTAAGTCTGTTTGCCTGCATCCCACATTGCCTGGTCATTGTGTCACTGTGATGCCTGTTATGCTCCTTGTGTCCTGCTCCTCATATCCTTGTTCTTGTCCCATGATTTATGTAAGTTTGCTGTCCCGTCAGTCATCTTTATTTTTGTAAATAATAAATTATTTATTTAGATTCCCAGAGTCCTGCTTGCCTGCCTGCACCAAATGGGTCTACTGCCTTGAAATCATCACAACAACAGTAGACAATCATAAAAAACATGATTTTAAAAATTATATATATTCAAAACATAAACGGCTACATTATAAAGTGGTGTAAAATACTAAAAACAGGAACATGTCTGTTGGTTTATGCCATGAACTTAGCAGATGTTTTGAAGCCATTTAACATTTAATTTAACTAATTTATTCATTCATTAAAAAAAAAAAAATCAAAAACAAAACATTGAATGAAAAGAGTGCAGAAAGAAGAAAAAATTCTTATATCTGCCCCTTATAAAATATAAAACAACTTTAAACAATCCATCCATCCATCCATCCATTTTCTTTACCCGCTTATTCCATTTTGGGTCACGGGGGTCGCTGGTGCCCATGTCCAGCAATCACTGTGCGAGGGGCGGGGTACACCCTGGACGGGTCGCAAGTCCATCACAGGGCCACATAGAGACAAACGAGACAAACAACCATTCA